GAATCCATGATAAGAGAGAATATAGAGCTTTAAAACGTAAAGAATTAACCTTCATAGAAGAATTTACGTATAGATCCTAATTAGTTGCCATACATCCATGGGTTAATCAATAATTCACTATTCTGAAGACCTACTTGTTTGGAGGTCAACCCACTGTATATACTCTTTATACAGAAATTGAAATGAAATGTCATAAAGACAAACAAAATAGAAGATATAGTCTAAGAATACAACTTCATTTACTTACCATGGAAGAGATTGATGATATGATCTAGCGTTCTTGTGAGTTGTCGAGTCTAAACTGTATATAAAGTATGAGACTTATACATTGCTTGGAGTTTATAGTTCTAAAGAGAAAAACAATAAAAACGATAAAAAAAAATGGAAAAATAAAAATGCAAGAGGTGGGTTCTTGTGTTACTAGGAGTTTTATTGTGAGATTTGTGTGCGTCAGGAAAGAGTTCAGTGAGGGTGAGACTAAGAGAAACTGGAAATCATGGAGTACTCTGAACTCTGAAAAAAAGGAGAAAGAAGAGGTTGGTTGACTGAGAGGAGATGAAGAATATGATGTGTAGGGAAAATAAATTATTGAATAAAAACTCCAATAAAGTTATGTGTACCCTAGCATTCATTTCAAGTCTTTGGTCTCGGTTTAAATAATTCATTTTCTTAGCCCAAAGTCTTCCATTCTCTATCTGGTGTACATTTCAACCAACCCATTGTATACGCGTGTCATTAATTTCCTCGACGGTTCGGATGTCGGATGGAACCTAAACACAAGGTTGTTAATCTGGGTACGCGAAGTCAATACGGTCGGTATGTATTGGTTGTTTCGGCAGGTACAATTCTTGCACTAATTTTTCAATTTTCACAGAGGAAAAATGAAAAGAAAAAGAACAATGGAAGTAGAAATTCACCCTTGCACAGCCGCTCAAAGCTCAAAGTTCAAATCTGAAATTGAGGAAGTGCAATGCTTTTATCTAGAGAAATGGAACCATATTTGCATAGTTTGTTGAGAAATTGATGGGTTTGGTGGAACAAAAAATTAAGAGCAGGAAGAAGTTGATGAAGAAGAAATTAAATGCTTTTGTTAAAAATAGTTGAATTAAAGGCTTATCTTCCTCCTTCCCACATTGGAAGGAAATATTGATGAGAAATCAACAGCAGTGGAATAAAGTAGAAATTGTAAAGAAAGCCCAAAGAAATATTAGACTTGCCGGCGGGTTGCGCATGAAGATGAACAAAAAATTCTTTTAAGGGAAGAAGTGTTAAAATTTTTATGTGAGTTTCTATTAATTATATTTAGTTTTCCTTAAAAATAGGTCAAATGAAAAATTAGTAGAGTCCAATAAAATTATGTGATTCACATAAAAATACAAAAGGTGGGTTCTTGTGTTACTAGGAGTTTTATTGTGAGATTTGTGTGCGTGAGGAAAGAGTTTAGTGAGGGTGAGACT